ATCCTGTTTACCGTCAGGTGCACCCACGAAAATCAAATGGCAAGATCTGTCTCTCAGTTCAACTATTGCTCTGGCAGAGATATCGTAGCCCTTCAGGCTGAAGTCCTCTGGATCACCCCGGCCAAACGTTAGAACCTTAAACTTTTCCATGTCAATTGCTGCTTGTTTTACGTCGGAAAACTCACTGAATGTGCTTGGCGTCAGTTGAATTATCTTTTTGTGCTTCCCACATGAGCGCAGGTAGGAAGAGTAAGCCTTCGTCAACTTTGGTCCAACTGCTACCACAGCATCTGCCAACTCACACAACTTCACTTCAGTTGTATTCTTCTCTTCACCTTTAAAAAAGGCCATAGCATAGTTTTTGTGCATTCCGAGTTCCTCAGGTACAGTATGCACCACCTGTATCCACCTGCACTGATGCGATTCTCTAATAAATTGGGCTTGTTTACCAAACTTTGCTCCATGACCCAGTACTATGTCAATGGCTAGATCTCTAGGTGGGGCACTCAGCCAGTCACAGGGGTCACTAAAGCCCGGAAGTGTTTGTGCCTCTCTCACGGATACATTGTGACTCGATGCCATTCTCCTCTCTTCTTCAGAACAGGCAAACTGTGGGACAAGGAGGGTGACGTCTACTTGAGAATGTTTGGCCAACAGAATGGCAAGCTGTGTGTTTATGGTGGAGAGGCCTCCCATTGATGAACTCCATTCACTGCCCAGGAGAGTCACCTTCAGTGTCGTGTCAGACTTCATTAGATTAACTCCAGCTACTGCACCCTGTGATTTGGCAGTGACATTTGAACACCTTGACCCCTAGGCAAAAAAAAAGGGAGAGGTCATATAGGTCCTATCACTTGGTAAAAATTATACACCATTATAAATTTTGAGTATGTTCCAACCCATTTATAATGATAAATTCATGAGCCCTAAACTCCCACGAGAGACCAAGACAGAATTTCTCCTTATATTATCCATACAATATCAAGCAGACAACTAATGAGACTTAAGAAAAAGATCAATTAGGGGATTTTAGTAATGTTATGTTGCACTCTTGTTAATTTCAAACAGACTGACTGCTTAATTGCTTCCCAAAGACAAAAGAAGATTTGACTTAAAAGAATGCAATCCCCCCCCCTCTTCTGTTGCTCTTTAATTGTCATGACTGTATTAGTTGATTTGCAAATAGAAGACAAGTTTACTCAGTCTAAGTCCAAACAAAGAAAAAAACCTCATTTATTTTGTAAATCCTTAATAATTTGCAAATAATTATTAGAATTCAAATCAATCAAAGAAGCTGTTTAATTTGTTTGTGATCATCAAATTCATCACGTGGCCAATTTTCCTTTCCAAGTCAATAATTTCTAACTTCTTTACACCAAAATCCAGAGAAAAAAAAGAATGGAAAAAAGCAAGACTGCGGCCATCATCTCCAACAGTTGCATGTATATTGAGCTATGGATCCACTTGGAAAGTTGCTTCGTTTTAAGAATTATTCACTAATTGAAAGTGCATGCAAGCGAATTGTCATGGGTATTTTCCTTGAAAATCAAAGTGATAAAGATATAGGTCTGTAATGACTGAATTCACAAACTTCCCCTGATTTGTATACAGGAATGACAATTGAGGTTTTCAAGTCTTCAGGCAGTTTGGCTGTCATGAATGTTAGATTTATGATTATGTGATGATGGTTCACTTAATTCTGACACTAACTTTTTTATTACTTGAGGTAGGATACTGTCATGTCCATAGCTTTTTGATGGGTCGCAATTTTCTAATTCTTTCTTATTTCTTGTTCACATGCAGACAGGTGACGATAGCATTGAATCCATGTAATTCCCCTTCAAGTAACTATTGAATGATAAGTTGGTGTTAGCTGTTATTTTCTGAGGAAGGTTCGGTTGAATGTTTAATAATTCATTGAAACTATTAACAATTATTTCCTTCTCGTTAGTAACATGCTCATTACCTTAAAGTTTTTTAAATTCCGTGGAGCTACTGTATTTATTCGTTTATGAGCCCAAATTTCAACACTGTAATGTGTGATGAGTTTGTTTACCAATCATGGGAATGGGCAATTCTGGTTGGTCAGTTTCGAAATTCTTAAAACACTTTCACAAGCTCTATACACTCGTTCAAAACCTGCAGAATCTCTAACACTCAAGAGAGCACGGAAGATGAAGCAATCTATTCAGAAGAAACAGCAGAACTAGCGGATGAGGAAGAGATGGACGACAAATTCAATGCCGACACTGAGAACAAACAGCAAGCTGTACTTACTACGCACCAAAAACAACAAACTGCTCCTTTGGAAGCCACCACATAAACAAAGTCAATGACCAACTTCAACTTGTTTTGTTATTTATCTCTGCATACAATATCTTGGCTTATAGACGAATATAATTATCTATGTTTCCTTTGAATTTGCTGTTTTGAAAAAATTATGTTTGGAAAAACACTCGGCTATAACCCAAGAACCCTTCTTTAGCTCAAATTTTCAAGATTTTCGTAAAGTTTCAGGAAAATTTCCCTTGGCTAATTGATGAATAAATACAGTAACTACTTCTTTCTTTTTTCTGTTGATTACTTAATTTACTAGGTTCCGTGTCTGTTTAATATCACCTCCAGCGGTTCCAAACTTTTATTCCAAATAATTATTTCTTTTTCAGAATATAATTTTTTTTTGTTAACTTGTTCAGATAGTAAAGGTAAGTATCTGTATCTCACTTTTAACTCTTCAGTTCCATCGTTTAAAATCTATTTGTAGAGGTTGTTTTTAATTTTAGTTGATTCTACGAATCCTTTCATAATCTAAGGTTTCTTATGAATTTTGTTTCTTTGTTAGACAAATTCTTTCAGGTATACTATTATTGTATAGGCACATATTATTAAATGTTTCTCAAAAAGGAACCTGCATCATCAATGTCAATGATGCTTTTAAAATGTTCCCAAACAATGTTTTGAATTTCACTACATAATTTGTTAATTAATATTGCCTTAGTTTGTTAGTGCTCTCCTCTTGAAAGTAATCCATTTTGGTTCTGGCATGCTAATAGTTGGTAATTAATATTTGAAAGACTGGCAGGTGATCTGAAAGATCGTTAATCAAAATTCTCCTTAGGCAATCTAAGTGGATGTTATTAATGAATATACTATCAATCAATGTTGCTGAATTTGCTATAATTCTTGTTGATCTGTTTTTAACTGGATAAAAATGAAAGCTATACATTTAGTGAAGAAATCTGTTTTCATGGTCACTGATCTCAGCCTTTATAAGATCAATATTCAAATCTCCCAGTAGTATACACAATGGCATCTTGCTCTCTTTGTCAACCTTGTGAAGAATAGTATTCAAATCTGCTCCAAATTATTTAAAATTGCTGTTTGGTGGTTTGTAAATTGTTCCTTCAATGGCTTTCTCACTTTACTTAAGGCGAGTCTCAAGAAAAAACCTTTTTAAGACACCATCTCTTTGTAAATTCAAGTCATTTCTAACATGAAAGCTTAATACAGAGGATATAAACAAGTCATCCCCACATCCCCACCAGTCTTCTAAATGTTCCTCTTGATGTTAACAAATGATGGCTTGATTAGTGATTCATTATCATTATTAAGCCAAGTTTCACTTAGTCCAATCACTGAAAAATTACGCACTAACTCCCCATGATATTGCTATAGATCATCCAATTAATTTTTATTGATCAAACTCCCCAAATTTAAGTGTAGGACAGAGAAGGGAGATTTATCGGAGAAACAAAATAATAATTCATTTTTGAACTTTATAATCCTCAAGATAGTGCTCCCATTTCATAATACCTCTATGATTCTGGTAACCATCCCCTAGATCAAAATTGCACTTGTTGAAGTGCAAATCACCCATCACCCAACACAGGGTGAAGCTTGAGATAGACAATTTTAGAAAAATCATTACCTATCATTATCTGGTTGGTAGCTGTCAGTGTTTGAGCAAAATCATGAGTCCTAAATGCGTAAATAAAAATACTTGCTGTAAACAATTATCCCAAATGTTATTTGCATCTGCATCATACATTCAGCATGAAAATTGTTCCCACAAGTTTCACAATTATTTCTATGCCATAAATAATTGAGTCACATTTAAAGCAGTTGAATTTTTGTTTTAAATTTAAGATTATAACTAAATTATGGTCTTAGTGTTCTAAGTGGTCATGCAATATAATGTAAATACTTCCAGCCCTTGAGCTCAGTTATTCTTGGATCATATATATCACATTATATCATAATGCATTTGATATAATCATGTCAACTTCACACACAACTCACTGTAGCTCTCAACCAAATCGATTTTTCATGGTTAAAGTCCGATGAATAATGATCAAAGTTATTCAGTACAAACAGGAAAGTATTTTTTGCTCTCACAAAGAGACAACACCACCACCTCATTTACATGTCATTAAATAAGAATAGCGTCTATTAATTGTGTTATGCCTCGTTCTTCAAAGCCTCCAGACACATGTAAATGAGGTGGACGGGTATTCTGAAGTTGCTCCAAATTTTTTCATCAGTATAAACGCTTTCATTGCCTGTTGTGAAAACTAATCGATGATCAGCAACTACCACACAGAATAATTATAAGATCAGAGCTGACTAACGTCAACACGATCAGAAACAATTTGGATATATCAACAAAGTTGAAATGGTAAATTGGCCACCGTAATGATTACAAAAGCTGACGTTTCGAGCGTTAGCCCTTCGTCGGAGCGAATCGATCAGAAACAGTTTCTCCCGTACTTTCCATTCCAATTGTCCCTTCAAAACGCCTATCTTAACTTACAATAACTTTATTTCATTTCTGTTGCTAGGAGTTTGTACTTCAACGCGTCTGCTACAGAACGCCGACCTATTAGTCTGCAAGATCGTATGTCGAGAGTGTTTTGCATTTGACGGGCGTTGCTAAAGTATAGAAAACAGATCAGAGCCTTACAAAATTAGAATACAAAGGGAATGAGAGACTATTGGAGATAACAGAGAACTAGATTGAACTGGCGGAAAATGACTCGCGAAAACACTTGAGGGGAAATGACTTCAGTTCGATTGAGCGGAGAGTTCGAATTAATTCCCACCTGAATTATCTTTGTTAGCGTTTTCGGAGTGTAGTGAGGTTAAAATTTACAAATAAGCTAGATTCTTATCTGTGTTGAACATAATACTTACTTCTCAGCAAAGTGAACAACAACTGCAGGGAATTATGGCGAAGTCAAGAGCAAATCGTTGTTGACAATCTTGCTGTTTGGCTCGTTGTAATCCCTGACTTGCGCATTAGGTTCAACCTACATCATGGACACCATGCTCCTCACATTTCACGCGACCAAGCAATTGACGCAAGGGACAGGTACATGGGGAGGGGTTGTCTCTTCTCTGCGTCGGCGGGCAAGTAAAGTATTTAGAGTCTATTTAGTAAGTCCTTCAAGAGGTATCAAAGTAATATTTGATGAATGTAAGTTAATCGGTCTTAAAAAGTGATAAAAACTTACCCGAGCGTTTGAAATACATCACAACAAAGCGATGTGGGGTGTGTTCCGCGAAAAAATAGTAGAAAATGTTATTGAAATTTCGGGAGGCGGAAGGGCAATATTTCAACAGATCTTGGCAATCTTAAATACTTCTAAATGGTTAAGATATAAAAATTGATGAGGGTTTTAATGCATACTACGCCACCGATGCCAGATACAGTAGCGTCAGTAAGAATCTTTGGTAGTTTGAGTCAGTTACTGATGCAAGATTTCTTAATGCCCTAAGAACGCTAAGGCTGTTTGCCTCGATCTTTAGTTATTGCTGTCATGCCGGGGAAATAACTGATTGCTGTGGGTTGGAGGGCGAGAGGCTGTTATTAATCGTCTAGGACAGAAAAGAAAGATCGAGGAAAATTTCTTTCATTTTCAGTGTTTTCGAGAGGTAAAATGATTACAAAAGTCTTTGCGACTCATTACTACAAAAAACAAGTCCTCTATTTTTTCCTTTTTCATTTTGTGTATCGGAATCTAGTTTGTTTCCCTCAGGTAAGGTGAGAAAAACAGATAAAATAAGAAACTATTGAGATGTCATTTAAGAGTCAGGCTAATGAACAAAGGATTACGGGATGGAGATTTCTAATGCGTGAGAGCTGATTATGATGACGTCCGAATTAATCATCACCAGTGGAAATCACGAGCAAATAATCTAATGGTTTGTAGTAATCTACGTGTCACCCAAAACTTGTCAAGATACAAGAAAACATTTCTATTGATCAATGATACGAATGGGGCACGTTACGTGCTGCTCACTTTACTCATTATCTATTCGGAATAGATAGCGTGTAGGGCAGCCAATCAGATTGCGGCATTCATGATAAAACGTCGTCAGGTTAATAGTAAATACGGTTGGAATTACTTTTTTAACTTAATCCTGAGTGTTTGAGAGTGACGAGTCGATAACTTTTAAAAGATTAAAAGCCCCTCTAATAGTTAGTGTATTACACTAAGAATGAAAAGGTGTAATTCAGCCGTTACACGGATCAAGTTTTTCTGTTCTTGGAAAGTAGAAATTATTCTTTAAATACATCTCAGGACTTAAAACAATACAATGCGGGCAGTCGTTCGACCGACTGATTGTACGACTGATTGACTGAATGACTGGATGTCTGGGTAAATGACCAGCCCCTGGTTGGCTGACTGGATTATACAGACCAAAGCTTACAGTTTCCAAGCAAACGCAGGAGTAATAACACGTAAACAAACAAAAAAACTACAAACCTTGACGTATGCAACAACCAAATAAAACTCGTTTCCACGAATTTAAAAAAAAAAAGGCAGAGACATTGGAAACTGGAATGGCGTGTACATCCTTAGGTCACAGCATGATACTCTTTTAAGAATAAATTATAAACTGTACAATGCGAATATTTCAAGGTAAGAACTATATTAAAAAGGCATAGAACATGCAATTTCCCAATTTATAAACTGTACAATGCGAATATTTCAAGGTAAGAACTATATTAAAAAGGCATAGAGCATGCAATTTCCCAATTTTTGATTGCCAGATAGTCTGAAGCCCCTGTCTGATGCAATCTCCCTCAGCCCCAATGACAGATCAGTTCTGCTCTTGACTTTACTTGCATCGAGTCGCATCTGCTGAAGTTCCAGCATGATTCGGTCGAGAGAGCCTGGAAGAGACAAAGTTTTTATTAATCTTAATGCATGAAAGAAGCGCAACAATCGTCAGCTGGAAAAGAACAATATTCCAAATCTAGTAAGAGAATTTTGAATGGCAAAAATGAAAATAAGGACTTCAAGCACCAAACAAACGGTTTTGTCGAACAACTGAGCTTTGAAACGATAAACTGGAAGTCAACTGACTTTTTATGGACCAATGAATACACTAATAATCAAAATTAGAGAAGCAGAGCGGAAAGATACCATAAGGTCTACATTCTGACATATCTGTGTAACTGGAAAAAGAACCCTAGGCAACAAAACCGCGTTCTAAACTATGTTAAAACGGAAGAAAGCTGAGATATAGATAATAACATATCTCCTCAGTGCAAAACATCAGAATACCATTTCAAAATGCGTAGCTGGCTTGACGTTGAAAGCAAAGGAAAGGAGAAATGTTGGATCTACCTGTAACCTGTCTGTTCTTCTTTGGGGATGTCAAATACCATGTGTTATTAACATTTCATTACTCAGCTTAAATTAAATGCTAGTTTGGTTGACGCGTCGAAATCTTCGGCCCCTTGAGTTCTGAAATTGTGTCTCGTCCCGTTAGAAGCTAAAAAGATAGACAGAAACCCTTTTTCATATTACACAACAAGAATCTAAAACAATTGATTACTATGAACTATTTAGAGCATTACTGACATCATGTACAGTGTTAGCACAGAAAGATCAGTCATTGTAAAGAATACTGGACATGTGATCATGAAAAAGTCAAGTTTCATCTTAGTTTGGTGGCTTCTTATTAAACCTGTGCATTCTAATCAGGTCACTTGGTTATGATCTGAAATCCACAAGTTTTGATATCTGGGTGAGTGTCTTCCGGAAAGGTTAAAGTGGTAGTTACACTGTTTGACACTGATAATTATTTATCATTTCTTATTGTGGCTCTCTTTCCTGAGTCTTTGGAAAGTTCACATAATAAATGAAAACCCTTCCTCCTCTTGGAGTAACAGACTTTTTCAGTGAGGTTTTCAAATGTCAAAATAAATATCAAAGTTGTTAAGCTTTTTAATTTTTTTAGAATCAAATTAAGTTGTAAACCATGGAATAGTTACACTCACTATCCTAATACTGATGACGGACTTTATAATAATGTGGTTCCTACCTTTTAAGCGGTAATATACTTGCTTCAACCTCATTCACCAATCTGAGGAAAGAGCCTGGCGCTTTGTAAAAAAGGAATACTTCAACTCAACCACCCGTACAACGCAATTCTGAGATGCTGAATTAATTGTCACATTTTTACCAAGGAAATCGAAATCGGTAAAACCACTGTAGGCCTCGAAGTTATTTTGCTTTAATACGATTGGTTCGATACAGAACGCTGTTATTTCTGAGAATTATTTCTCGGTTCCAAATTAACAATCTACTTAGATAGTTCAGGTTCTCATTCCACGTAGACGCTCGGCAGTTACATTTGAAAGCGAGGATGGGGAGCAAAACTTTGTGTTGTGTTAAAGATTAAGATTACGGGATCTGTTGAACTAACTTGAACTTGTCAAAATTCAATTGGAATTGGTATTTTGATTTTGAACTTTTCGAAGTTTACTTAGAATATTCCTGTACACCTTTTTGATAAGTAGGTGTGGCATATGTTGACTGCTGACCCCAAACTGTGATTTTAGAATGAAAATGTATAAGCCTTAGATCAGAGGAATTGCTTTGAATTCGGGATTGGCTTTGAAGTATATAAGCGTGAAATGACTTCTTTCAATTAATTGTAGTATTTTAGAGAATAGTTTTGGTATTGTTTTAAGTGCAAACGGAAATGACTGCTTTTACTTATTTGCTAAAAATAATATGATTTTAAAGCAAACTTTGTCCTTTTTGTGGAGGCGCAATATTAATGAACTTCAGATTGAGAAGCTAATTATTTTCAGTCCTGGCCCTTTCTAGATAATACTAGTCTTGTGCTATTTCTTCCTGGAATTTTCTTGAATGACTGATTTAGTTCCATGATCTGATGTCGTTTTGCTACTCGTACTGAGGCCATGCCAATCCAGTTTTACAGCTGATAATACTTTTCATATGGCTCTTGTTTCCCCGCTTGTAAGATGTTACTCCGGTAGTGTGATTGAAATATTAACTAGTTTCCAGTTATATTATAGAAAGTAGGCGTTGCCGTCGGTAGACCCTTCTCCAAAAACGAACTGTTTACTCTTGTTATAAATTGTTATTGCGCAATTACCTTGAGTCTGTATTTCTGTAAACGTATTATTTTTTAACTTTAATTTCTTTCGATAATGTTATACCAATAAATTATTATATTGCTCACGTTACTTTATTTTGGCCAGGCAACCCACGAAGGACAACGAAACTTTTAACATGAAAAAGATTTCGAGTGTTTACTTAATCGTCAGTCCATATGCTTAATTATCTCTTTATACAAGCGCAGTTTGGTTACAACCTTTTCCGCAAGGCATTACGTGAGCATAGATTGAGAAATGGAGATAGTTTGATGAACAACTGTCAATCTCCTTTCTTGTCTAATCTGGTACTTTGAAAGAACGTGAGCAACAACCTCGTAAATAGTTCAACAATAACCAGTTGAACGGTTCAGTTGTCAAGTTAAGTCTGACAAGTTGTATCATAATCCAAGCCTTTAAACAAATGTCATTGTACAGTCTCATTTCACGCTGTTTGGTAGTTCCCACTGTTCAAATACAATAACGTACGGGAAATCCTTACAAACAACGAAGTGTCCTCGTTCGTAACCTTGAAAATTGCTATATTATCCTATTCCTTCGATGGGAGTCTACGGCGAACCTCATACGGAAAATTAGGGCGAAAATAATGGCGATAAAATACATGTGCGCCGAGGTTTGACTTAGTGCCAAGTGACAAAACCTCGGCAGAGACTGGGCCTAGATCATGGGAAACCTAACAATTACAAAAGAAGCAAGGAAAATAACTGCTTATCAAGCAAGCCTTCATATACAGAACTGTGCAAAAGTAATTCAAACGATAATCATCGAATATCGCGCTTTGTTCTCCCGAGATATCGTCGACATATGGGCGATATCTCGGAACAACTGCTAAAATGTTTCCTGGGACTTATCGTCCACTTGTAGTAACTGTTCTGTTTGAGAAATGTGTCCCTTTCCACTTTAAAATTCCAAAACTGATGCTTGGCAAATCATTATTTGGATGAAGAAACCGCAAACACCCAATATGTAGAATAATACTATGCTTCAAGATTCCACAAACATATTTCAGTTCCTTGCAGGATGTTCTAAATTGCGTAGACCGACGATTATCACAAAATGCTGCAATATCTATTACAAGATGCGTAAGTTATTTCAAAATGTCGTAGAACACGTGGTTTATTTCTATGTAAATGTTCACCAACAGTAGAATCACTTAAAAAGAATGGAGGCGCTTATTCAAAAAGAAAAAGCAAAACAAACAAAGTCGAGGGGGTTCAAACTGGAACGAGGGCGTTAAATCGAATCCTTACGTTAGTTATAGAGGCTCACTCTGTGTGCTTGGGCTACCTGTAAATGCTGTGAGCACCAGGCTGTAGGCGCCAAACACGCTTTCAGTGAGCGTAATTATTTGAAATGCTCTATTTATTTTTAACGGCGGGGGGGGGAGGGGGCTGATTTCAGCCCACACCTTTGTCATGCTCTGGGTTAGTTGAAATGAATGAAAAATTGCTGGGATCAGGCAATCGTGACCGTCAATTATCAGTCGCCTGGTACTTCGCTTGTCTCTGATCCACTGACTAGGAGTCTGAAACACGTTTCTTTTATTTTGGGAAATTTGTCGGTTTAACCACAAAAAAAGTCACGAAAATGATAATGATCTAACCAAGATTAACACAAGAAATAAAATTTATCAACTGAATAAAGATTGGCCTGCAGGGGTCAGAAGAATCCAACCGCACTGAAAGGCATAAGGCTCAACGAATGATCGCGTGACAGTTGCGAATTTGATCTCCGTCGTCAAGGTCATGTGACGGTTGTTATTAGGCAAATGTCACGATACATATCCAAGTTCTAGAAATCGAAGGAAGCGCTTTATTGAGGGTCATTCGTCTTCCGACTCTCGTCTTGTCGAATTTCTCGTTTGCAAAATTGCCCTGTAGTTTTCTACAAGTCTTTTAGGTTTTATAACTCAGCAGAAAGAAACTCACGGCTGAGAGAAACTCTCCAGTTGTGGATAAACTTTCCCTGAAGATTTGAGTATCAGACTGGTTCAATCCATACTTCTATGTCACAGGTAAGATTAAATGCAGCGGTTCAGAAGTTGTTTTCATGAAAGTGGTTGTTGCAGTACCCTCATTTGCAAAGATGCCCACCACAACCTGCCTCAGTTTAAATACCAGCGTGTATAAAGTTATACATAATTGTAATTGACGCTAACAGCGAAGCAAGATCAAATTTAATCGGGTTTGAAGATAGTGTAAAGATTCAGTATGTTGGATAAACATTCCAGTGCGAGTTTGTTTGCTGCTTTTTCCTCAGAGATTTCCATTAGAACTTCAGAGGGCTGAAACTATTGTCCAAACCTTGAACAAGAAACGTACTCGTGAGAAAATTCCGCTGGGGAGCTTGATATGCTTGAGAAGCATTTTCATAACAAACTAAGCGTGAATTTTAATCAATGGAGCAATTTAATCGTGTGCTATGTTCATCAAGCCGGCTGTAATATTTCCGTGGCTTGCTTGTATTCATAAATCTACCGCTTTTATTTCTCTCCTCTCGGTTGTTTAGCTTGTCTACTAAAGGAAGTGTAAGTTGTTTACATTGTGTAGAGGATGGTAATTTCATTTGACTGTTTACACTCTTATATTACGAGTCGCATTCAAGAGTTCAAATGATAACGTCGATGACTATCGTAGTTGTGATAGTGATCAATACCTGTAGTCGAAGGATGCTGTGCGAAACTTAAATATGTCAACGCATGTGCAACGGTGTGTAGTACGTGGTTTAGTTCGACGGATAGATTTGGATGATGAATTAACGCTACCATGATCTGGATAGAATGCATAGTATTTTCCTTTGTGTTCTTTTTCAGCTATGGGGATCCCTCTATGCAAAGGAGATCAAAATCGTCAACAAAACATTTCTTCAGGTTTGAAATTAAACATAAAAAGTAGCACACAAATGAACAGTCAAATCAGTTCTCTCTGCTGCTGGGAGAAGAGAAAATTTATGATCATGCTCTTAAGCTCCAGCACAACTGATTATCATTAGTAAGTGGACAAGTGTCACAACACGAAATATTGCAAACATTGTTTGGTTTGCGTTTGGAACCTAGCTGACCAACACCATGCGCTAGTGGGCTTCCTTTTACTTCAAAGAAAATCGTTCGATTTTTGAAATAGCACCAAAGAACTTGTGCTAAGCAGCCGTTTACTGGAGGAAATGTACGCATCATTGACCAGTAACAGGCTTAGATTTTGGAGTCAATTCCACGTTAAGAAGTTGGGTTAAGGTTCGTGCAAACTCTGGAAACTGAATAGTTCCTAGTCAGTTGCGCGCAAAACGCGCCTGCAAAGAATTGGCCGCCTACTATTTCGTATTACCTTTATCTTTTCAAACCGCTTATTAAGACCCTCGGGTCCCAGACCTATGTTGGGATATACTTGTGTAGGTTATGGTGCTCTGCATAGAGATGATTTCTCAGCATTTTCTTTAGTTTTGAAGACTTGAGCATGGGCAAGAAACATTATTCACAATGACATTATGCTGTCCCCCAAGGCAAATACACAATTTTGAAATCTCCAATCAGATATGCAGTGCATCTAAACAAAAATATTTGATATCTAGTCATTCACTTGGCTAAATATATGAATAAATAAATATATATGAGTTTATAAATAAATAAATAAATGTGGGGGAAGAGTCTACCTTGGCATATATAAGTTTATTTATGTAGCTTAAACATACATTTATTTAGTTGTCAATTTTTATTAGACCCAATGGAAATTCAGGAGAGATCTGCTCATGCAGTTTCGAATTTCAGCACATCAGCAGGTAAATATGTTGAGCGGGGAGGTAACACTCACACGTCATATAATTATTATATGACAAGGTAAATCGGAGCGTTCTGATTAGCCCCTACTTGGTCAGTTTTTTTGCCAGTCGTAAACCGTGTATTTTTTGTTCACAAAAGCCGGCAAATTCAACATAAACAAGATTGACTTGAGTGCCACATAATAAACTTCCTAGTAACCTCGCTTTTTTGAGCCGTACTGGGGAATATTGGCACTTGGTCGTTTAGAACAGACCTTACTGTGCTTGATCCGCATTTCCTCGACCTCGGGCCAATATTCTCCAGTACGGCCCTCACGCTCGGTCACTGAGAAGTTTTTTTATGGTAGCATTGGCAGCGGCCTAGGGGAATATAAAGCCAATGTTTTGTTCTGATTGGTTACCCTGGGCAGGCAAGAAAAGCTCATCTTGCCCGCTCTGGATTGCCCGCTTTGATCCCGTGCAAGAAAAATGTTGTGCTACAAAGTATGTAATTTTGGACAATGTCGAGTTGAAGTCGTGGCAAATGCAAAAAATTAGGTTAATAATGATTAGTTGAAATGTTCAGACACTGAGATGTCGCTCGTCATGTATTTACTACTAGCGTTCTCCTAAAATGAAATTTCAATCACTACTAATACAGTTTATTTGTTATTACATGCAACATTTGTACTACCACCGAACAAGAGTGAATCAACTTACATCTGGTTTTTCCCCACATCGATTTGGCTGTCGTAAACATTGCAATTAATAAACAATTATTGGATGAGGTTTTTGTGATATCCGGAATAATCAAGGTCTCGGTTAGTGTTATCAGAAGGGTGAGGCTGATAACACTAACCGAGACCTTGATTATTCCGGATATCACAAAAGCCTCGTCCAATAATGTTTTATTATATATTGTTTTAAAGAAAAATAACGCCAAACGCATTATAGCAGCGAACACGGTTTATTTTCGAACACTTAAAAATCCACAACTGTGTGGTATACAAATTTTCACCGTTTTTATAAAACAATCAAGTGCAGAAAAGTTAAATGCATTTCTAAAGAAAGTATCTTTGAAGAAAACTGTCGATCTTTTAGTATTTTCCAAATCTTTATCTTCAAGTAATTTCTCAATTTCTCGCTGGGTCGATGAAGCGAACCGAGAAGCCATTCTTACTTCGCTGTCCGTGAACTTGACATTGCTCCACCGGAAATCATGCATTGCGCTGTTTCCCAGAATTAACTGTGGGCGTTTAGCCAATGAGAAGACAGATGGTGACTGCAATGTATAAGAATTATGTTAATAGGGCCGAGAGAAATCCAATTTGAACAGGGGCCCGGAACAAAAACTGATCAAAGGAGATGCTTATATATCTTGATTGGTCTTGCTTGTCCTAAATCAGTGTAACTTGGATATATCAACAAAGTTGAAGTAATAAATTGGCCACCGTAACGATTACAAAAGCTGACGTTTCGAGCGTTAGCCCTTCGTCGGAGCGATTACAAAAGCTGACGTTTCGAGCGTTAGCCCTTCGCCATTCGCTCCGACGAAGGGCTAACGCTCGAAACGTCAGCTTTTGTAATCGTTACGGTGGCCAATTTATTACTTCAACTTTGTTGATATATCCAAGTTACACTGATTTAGGACAAGCAAGACCAATCAAGATATATAAGCATCTCCTTTGATCAGTTTTTGTTCCGCCCCTGTTCAGATTGGATTTCTCTCAGCCCTATTAACATAATTATTATACATTGCAGTCACCATCTGTCTTCTCATTGGCTAAACGCCCACAGTTAATTCTGGGAAACAGCGCAATGCATGATTTCCGGTGGAGCAATGTCAAGTTCACGGACAGCGAAGTAAGAATGGCTTCTCGGTTCGCTTCATCGACCCAGCGAGAAATTGAGAAATTACTTGAAGATAAAGATTTGGAAAATACTAAAAGATCGACAGTTTTCTTCAAAGATACTTTCTTTAGAAATGCATTTAACTTTTCTGCACTTGATTGTTTTATAAAAACGGTGAAAATTTGTTTACCACACAGTTGTACATTTTTAAGTGTTCGAAAATAAACTGTGTTCGCTGCGATAATGCGTTTGGCGTTATTTTCTTTAAAACAATGTATAATAAAACAATTATTGGATTCGG